ACAGCTGAAGATGCTACAGGGAAGCTATTCTCCTGCATCTACTTGTAACGAGAGCTACCATACTTTCCCTACTGGAACGTGAAGACCCAACTACAGATTGAAGTCTTTCTGTACAAAAGCTACTCAGTAAAGCTTCAAAGAAGTATCTTTTTTTAAATATATAAGATGCACAGAAATCATTGCAGGGATAGGATAAATATGAAAAAGCAAAAGATTATGACACCATCAAAGAAACACAATGATTCTCCAGTAATTGACCACAAAGAAAAGGAAGTTTACAAATTTCCTGAAAAGGATTTCAAAATAATGATCTTAAGATAACTCAGTGAGATACAAGAAAATACAAATACACAATTCAAGAAAATTAGGGAAAAAATTCATGATCTGAATGACAAATTTAACAAAGAGATAGATATTATTGAAGGAAAACAAAAACACTTAGAACTGCAAAATTAAATCAATGAAATAAAAATACAGTAAAGAGCTTCAACAGCAGACTAGATCAAGCAGAAGAATCTCTGAACTTGAAGTCTTTTGAAATTACCCCGTCTTTCATCTTGATAACTGCGGCACTTATGAAAGTACATTATATATTCAAAAAATGTTTATTGAATTTAATAAACTAAGATATCAATAATAAAAGAAATTACCCAGTTGAAGGGAAAAAAAATGAAAAAGAATGAAGACAACTGCAAGACTTATAGGACATCATTAAACGATCAAACTTTTGCATTAAGGGAATTTCAAAAGAATTAAAGACAGAGATAAAGACAGAAAGCTGATTTAATAAAATAATTCCTGAAAACTTCCCAAGACTTGAAAGTAAAATGGACATCCAAATACACGAAGTGCAAAGGTCCCCAAACATATTCAACAACAAAATTATCACTAAGGCACATTATTAAGCTGTCAGAAGTCAAAGATAAAGAGAAAATTTTTAAAACAGCAAGTAAAAAGTATCAGATCATGTATAAGGGAATTTCTGCTAGCCTATCAGTAAATTTCATAATGGAAACCTCTACAGTCCAGGAGAGAATGGGATAATATTTTCAAAATAACAAAAAAGAAAACGACAATGATAACTGTTGCACAAGAATACAAATACAAATACAGCCGGGCGCGGTGGCTCACGCCTGTAATCCCAGCACTTTGGGAGGCCGAGGCGGGTGGATCACGAGGTCAAGAGATCGAGACCATCCTGGTCAACACGGT